ATAATGGCATTCAAGGAAACATCACGTAAACTCTGTTCAAGATTGTCAAAATATTTATTCATCACGTCGTGGCTTATTTTTCATATCACCAGGTTGCAGCGGAAATCCCCAGTCAGCAGCAACGAATAAAGCTTTACAGAGTGCACGTTCTTCTGTTTGACTCAGAATAGTTTGCCCCCAACTTTTTTTTGTTAATTCCTTTGATTTTTCTGTTAATGGTTGTCATCGGGATTCCAAAGCGCTCTGACATTGCCATCAGGCTTCCATCTCCTCTCCTGTAAGCTGCAACAGCCAACTGCACAGACTCCTGACTATAATTCTGATAGTTCCGCGCTACAGGTTTTTTTTTTGTATACTCGAACCATATTTCAAGTCGCCCCTGAAATGTAAAAAACAATCATATGGTTCGCCACTGGATAACGAAAACAATTAACGGAAATTTTAGGTTAGGATACTGTACTTAAGTGTATTGGCCATAAAAAAAATATTTCGATAAGAATTCTCCTTCGTAGACAGACATCTACCTAACTGGAAGTAGTTACATAACGAAAAAAAGTGTTTTTCTTACCTTTTTAGTGAAATTTTTTTCACGGTAACCTTCTGCATCACAGGTGGGCGATTTACTAAAAATGAATCGTATAATACGTTTCTACATCTACAAAATTTGTCGAGCTTTTGCCGTTGATAAAAAGATGGTAGCACGTGGCTGAGTTCGAGCGCGCACGCATATTTCAAATCGCCCCCTATTTTCAAGTCGCCCCGCCCCGTTTTACGGTATATAGGAATGGCTTACTAATGTGGATGTCAATGGGCAACTGATAGCGTTCAAGATGGATACAGGGGCTGAGATGGATGTAATTGATAAGAGAACTGTAAATCTTATGAATGATGCAGTGAAAAACTCGAATGTTAAATTGAAAAATTTCAATGGCTCACCATATGAAGTTTGTGGAATAACACAGTGACAAAAATCATACTGAAGTGGAATTTCAAGTTGTAGATTTTAATGCACCTGGTATTGTGGGATTACCGTTCATTGAAAAAATCCAGTTGCTCTCCAGAATTGATATGGTCAATTCCAAGGTCAATATTGATTCATGTTAGAAAATCATTGAGAGGTTTAAAAATGTATTCGAAGGTATCAGAGAACTTTCCAAAGAATATGAGATTTGTGATGATGATACAAATCTGGCAACATACCCTTACGACAACTGCATAGCGCGCAGGACGGAGTCTAGGTCGAGAGTGGAAAAAGGAGGCATTCAGCTTCCAGCAGTGGCATCAGGAAGATTTCTGAATGTGCGTGTCTTGTCCGCGTTTTGTAATGTCGATTAAATGTTATAATAGGTATTCGGGAGAGTATATGAAAGACTGTGATAAGTTGATTGCACGTTTATTTCTTAACCACCTGTGGTATTCTCCAACCAACAGTCATTACATTTTGGCGACGGAAGTTGAATCGGTACGCGTGACTTACGGTGTGCACACGGGTCATGATAGGAAGATGGTCGCCACGAGAAAGTTTCAAGAATTTAACATGGATATGGATTACTGGATTATCTATCAAGAAACACTCGAGAACTACTACGTGGCTAGTGATATAAGTCAAGATGCAATTGAAGTAGCAAATCTGTTGAGTTTGATAGGAGTGAAAGCTTACAAGTTGCTCCGCAACCTCTGTCGTCCAAGAAAACCCAACGAAGAAAAATGTATTTTTCAGCATTGAGTTCAAATAGTGATTTCGGAACACGACTCACCGATGTCTTGAAAGAAAAATTCATGGCAGGCATAAAAAAGGGACCGGTTTTGGAAAACTATATAAAGAAAGAGAATCTACAACGTACGAGGAGCTGAGGCAAAAAGCAGTGGACAAAGAGAATATGTCGATCGTGAAGACGGAAACGCAAAATGTAAATTTGCAGAGAAGGAACCAGACGAACCGAGCCGATCGACAACCAGGCCATCGCCAAGAGGAGAGGGACCGTCAGGAGGATCACGATCCCGTGACAACCAAAATGAATTCCGATGTGATGTTTGTGGTAATCAACACGGCGGATATTGCAGCTACAGAAATTATTGGTGCTCGGTGTGCAACAAAAAAAGGCACCTAGCGAGAGTTTGTACCAGGAAACGTGTGAATTTCATAACTGACGACCTTGGTGCAAAGGTAGATTCCAGTACCTCTGGCAGTATTGCCACTAAAAAATTTTCGTGTCTAAAACGACTGACATTTTCTAGGCCTTCATTAGTGAGCTTCGAAGCCGTAATGTGTACAATTTCCAATTTCGATGAGTTCTGGATGTATCCGAATATATAACTCTGAGTATCTACGGTTTAAAGAAGCAAAATTAATATATCCTAGGGAATTTCACTATCACAAGTTTTTTTATGTACAAAACCATGACAGAACCTGTCGTTCCTGTCATATGTCATGGAATTGACTTATGACATTTTATATAATTTTCGGAATCTCCAACTCCATTATCTTCTTGCAGCTAGCTGAGAACATTCGATTCGATTCTTTATTCTTTCTAGTTTTTGAAAATGGTTTATTATTGTGTTTATAACAAGTGCAAAAGTAATTCACGACGTATCAAGTCCAGAAAAGAGAAATATTGTGTCTGCTGTGGATTGAACTATGTGGAAACAGGAAGTTAACCATTGACAAGGTTAACAGAAATACATTTGTTTGTAGCAAACATTTTGTTAGGGGGTTTCCAGATCCCTTACCTTACCATGCAGACACAATAAAAGTTGGGAAATTTGTAGAAATAGGCAGTGAAGAAATCTATGATAACTCACATCTATTGGTACATTCTGAGAATGATGAAAGAAAGAAAACAGAAAATATTGAAATTTTAATGCCTACTGAAGGAGCTAGTGACAATCTAGTGATTATATCTAATCAGCTACAGGAGCATAACTATTTTCATCAAGATGACTGACATCACTGTCCTCTGAATATAGTTTACAATGACATTCTTTTTGTAGATGATACTTGCATTCATGTAAGTGATGATGAAATACATCACCCTGAATATATTGGAGATAATGAAAACATGGAAAATACTCATCCAGATCATTCACCCAGTGCAAGTTGTGACCAATCCATAAGAGAAGATGATGACCAACAATATACTGGAAACGACACTGGAAATAAATTAAAAAACAATAAATTGTCCTATTCAAATTTGAAAAAATGCCCAGCAGAATTCAAATATTTTTGTGGATTGGAAATTTATCAGTTTGAAGCCTTGTACAACTTTCTGGATGAGTCAGTTATGGATAAGTTGAAATATTCTTATAGAAACGATTATAAGAGGAAAACAAATCTTGAAAGTAACAGAGTTATTTCAAAATTGTCAAATAGAGATGAATTGTGCTTAACACTAGTTAGATTAAGAAGAGGATTAACCCTGGTTGAAATGTCATATTTTTGCAATCTAAGTAAATCATATGTATCTGTGATATTTTTTACTTGAGTTCAATTTTTGTATCTCCAAATCATTCGTGTTCGTGGGGATCTAATTTCTAAAAGTAGAGATACATAGGAGGAACCATATTGTTTTAAGAATTTTGATGGTGAGAATGTAAATTTTATAATAGATGCAACCGAGATATCCATGGAAATGCCACTCTTCTTATAAACATTCTAATACCATCAAATTTCTTGTAATGATTTGTCCAAGTGAAGTAATTGTTTACTGTAGTGATGGCTTTGAAGGTTCCATTTCAGATGTGGAATTATTTGAAAAGAGTGATATCATGGTTTTTCTCAAAGAACATGATGTAATTTTGGTAGATAGGGGATTTTTAATAAGAGATTTATGTTATGAAATCTATGTTCAAGTTTATATACCTCCATTCTTGATGGAAAGACATAAACTCACTGCTGAAGAAGAAGGATGACTAAGAAAATTGCAAAAGCAAGAATTCATGTGGAGAGGGCTATTGGTAGGATAAAATCTTACAGAATTCTTTCTAAAAGATGTCCAATTTTGTTGCTTCCTATCATTTCAAATATATTCACCATAATATGTTTTTTGGTAAATTTTCAACTACCAGTTAGTTATTTGATAAACTGTGTAATTTTTGAGTCATCACTTATTGAAGAGAGATAAAATATTATTTTGTTACTGACCCAGGAGTTTTATTTAATGAAGTACTTGTATATACCTACTTCTTCTGTAAAATTTTCAGAACTTGACAATTTACAAATAATGTTTTTCATTTGCTCAGTGTGCAGATGAAAACACAATTTTACATGGGACTGATATACACTATTTTTATAATAGTCAATTTTGAATGTTAATCAACTTCATGCAATCTATGACGTTTTATATTTGTTTTACAGTGAACTTTTGAGATCAATACATTTTGCCTCAAAATATAAATAAAATAAAAACAAAATAATTATTGATAGTTTATTGAATGCATTAGAGAATAATGTACAACAGACTACAGATGAACACTAAATTAGTTATCAAGTTCAATAGCATTTAAATCTCTAACACACCTCATATTGAACATTTCTGGTACATAAACAGTTTTATAAAAATTTTCAACTTTTGTCTTGATTTCCTCAACAATTTCTGGATAGCGATTTTTTCTCACATAAATAACGAGAATATCCTTGGGATTCCAAACTACCAAGTGAAAAATATTCAAATCAAATATGATTAAGGACATTAATATCTGATATAAGTAAGGATGATTGTTTTTTACAACATACTTGAAATTTTGCCTCTCTAAGAAAAAGTTACTCAATTGTTTTTTTGTCAAATACCTATCAAAATCAGACAAATTAGAACAATTCTCTAAAACTTTGGGACATTTAATTTCTATTAAGCGATCTATCACTCCATCATCTGTCATCAATAGGTCATCAATACTGGTAGCAAAACATGGATAATTTTTATTCACAACCAATCCCAGTTGTTGAAGAATTTCATCTTCTCCAACAAAATCTTTCAGATATGCCTTTCTTGCTTGCTAGAGGTTCACTCCTCTTTACTATACAACATGGCAGCTGTCATAACTGGTGGCAAACTTCTCCATAGATTACGCAGCAAAAAATTCTTCTTTGCATTTTTTGAGATGAGTCTGCTCACAACTTCAGCATTTGATGATGTTATAAAGTATGTCCTCCATCTATACCAGTCCTCTGAACCTTGAACAGTCCCAGGAATCTCGATGAGTTCAGTGGAAAAGTTATTGAGAAATTTTCTTATGTTGTCCAAAAACTGTTGTGTTTGTTGAGAACAAATATGTAATTCCTTCAAACTATATTGAAAGTCCTTATACTCAAGTTTGAGTATTTTTTGAAACATAGAAAGTTCGTCTCCTTTTTGTAAATCAACTGAAAAACTATTAAAATCAACCTCTCTTATGAGATTAGTAGGTCTAGGATCAAATTCAGCTCTCTTCAATGGCCTAAGTCTTTTCATGGGGTATGTAGACTTTGAAGTTTGACCTCGATTTCTTTTTCTGGAACCAATGCCCCATTCTCTGGGTCTACTTGTGGGGGGCACAACTCCAGTTCCATATTTTTCCACATGTCTGCAAATGAAAATCAAGAATGCAGTAACATGACTGCATTTTCCTAAAGTGGACTGTTTGCATTCACATGTTCACTTGACCACAGCTCCAGAAATTTTGTTCAAAACAATTATAACAGTGTACAGAACTTTTTTTCTAAATAAAGACTGGCACTTGCATTTTGCAATATAATGACTCCCATTTGAAGAATCATATATTTCACTGACATGGTCACTGTCTACATATTGACTTTCCCTTCTGAATGGTTTCACTGAAGTAACAACATTCTCTTCATCATTAATTACTATATCAGGGTCTTCATTCTGAACATTTTCACCAATAATATAAGTATAAATGTGTCCTTTGTTGAAATTTTCAGGAATACAGCAAGAAGGAAATCTTCCCCACTTTGCTCTAGCAAGAATGAGCTGCAAATCATCATACTGTCTGCTAACTTTTTCCTTTTTGATTCAAGTTCCTTTTCAAATCATTTTCCATTATCTATTCCCGGAGAAATTTTCTGATCTTGACCATTTTTTATACAGTTCTTAACCCTACAACAGGAAGATGAACATGTATAAAGATTCAAATATAATTTCTGGAGGAAGTCTAGGCGAGCACAAATACAATGGGGATTTAAAATTTACCCATATATTCAGTAATGAATAATATGACAGAATCACCTTTCAATCAGTTCTAATTTCACTCCACTCTTCTTGTAGCCCCTACATTCTAACCATCTTTGAAGTTCTGCAACTGAATGATCCTCAATTAATAAATTGTTCTTCAAATGGGCACCTGGAACATCCACTGGTAATAATAACATTTTAGGAGGAGACATAGTTGAACAAAAATATTATTATACAACAGACTCAACAGAAATACTCGAAAACTCTTCAAACTACTCTTGATAAATGTTAAACTAAGTGTGACTAATTATTTATAGCTCCTACCAGATCCAGGAACCCTAGAAGCAGGTAGCTGATTTGATAGTTTTTAAATGGCTTCTTAATTCGAGAAAGTTGCAGTTGGGATCAAATCAAAACAAAATTAGAACCATGCAACCATGAAACATATTAAATAAACAATGAAAATAAAAGACATATGACCATATCATGACAGGTTCTGCATGTGTAACAACTGTGTAAAAGTCAAATGCCCTAGGATTTCTAATTTTCTCTTATATCAACATTATTACTTCGATTTATATATTCGGAAGGAACACTTCGAAAACTTTAATATCGGAAATTGTATCTGTTGCGACTCTGAATCATATTAAAAAGGGCGTAGAAAATGTCAGTCGTTTTAGACCCGCAAATTTTGTAGTGGCAACACTGCCAGGGGTACTGGAATCTCCCATTGTGGACGACTACAGTTTTGATCAGTGTTGCCAATGTGTGTGTATAATTACACTAAATGCGTGTAGTCTGGGAGCATTGTGTGTAGGATTCGTGTAATGAATATTTTCGTGTAATTTGCGTGTAATTTAACAATCATTGTTGTCATCTTGTGGTCCTGTGACCTGCATGATAATATATATATGTCTATGCGTTTATAGTTCTGGAGTACAACACCATCTGCGCGAATGTGTTCTATAATTTCTATGTTGATGAGCACAAACTATCGGAATAACAGAGAAAAAAAATCACTTTCACTCACTGTCCACTGTCAGTGTCAGTACTGTCTGTCACTGATCTGGTGATTTGTGCACTGTGGCTGTGGAAGAAGTAGAAAATATCAAATTTTATTATTATTTTCAAATAAGAATATCGAACAAAAGAAATTAATAATCTGGCATCTTCCTCCGGATTACCTATGCAGCCAGAAAAACCTGGAGAAAGACGGAAATCAAGAAAGTACATATTTTCTGATAGTTGGCGAAATATTCCCGAGTTCAAAGAGAAGTAAAAACGATCAAGGTTTCTGCAAAATTTGTAAAGTCGATGTATAAGCACATAAATCAATTATTAGATGGCATATGGAATCTGATAAACACAAATTCAATATGGAACAAGTTGCCCATACCTTAGATATATCAAAAATATTTGATAATCCAATAGCAGTTGAAAAAAAAAGAGATGAAATTAAACTAGCAGGTCTATTGGCTACCAATAACCTACCATTTTCATTAATGGATGTACTAACTCCACTGTGCAGATATATTTTTCCTGTTTCTGAAATAGCATAGGAGTTAGCACTCCAAAGAACAAAAGCTACCCAAATAGTGAGGGAGGGTATTTCCGAATCTTACAAAGAAGTATTTTTTGACAGTCTGAGGAAAGATGGTTAATTTTTTTCAATTATCATGGATGGAACAACAGATGATTCCACTAAAAAGCATTGTGCATTCATAATAATTTATTTCAACAACTCTTAGTGCAAGGTTGCAAGCCAAATTTTTGATATGAAAAAACAGTGTTCTGGAGAATTCCACTAACAAATCTGATTGGATTTTCATCAGATACTACTAATTGCATGTTTGGAAAAAATCAATCTGTTGCTGCACTTCTGAGGAAAGAGTTTCCCAATATTGTGTTGGTGAAATAATGATGCCATGTGATTCATTTATGTGCCTCCAAGGCATGTATGGAACTTTCGCGGTCTGTAGAAGACTTTTTGAGGAATATTGGTTCTTATTTTCATTGGAGTGCTCAGAAAACTGAGAAATTTGAAGAAATTCAAGAATATTTTGAAACTGAGATTGACAAAATTCTTTCTCCATCAAACACTAGATGGCTGCTGTCTCTAAAAGCATGTGTTTATAGGATATTGAAACAGTTTGTTCCCTTGCATACCTATTTCAGGGAATATTAGCTCTCAGATCCATCAAAAACTACTGAGGACATGCACAATATAATGAATAATAAATTCACCATTAGATATTTAGAATTCATGTCATATATGCTTGAGTTGTTGGTTGAATTCAATATTTAATTTCGAGCAGGGACACCACTCCTACACAGATTGAAACCACAGACTCAAAAACTACTGAAAACAATCTACTTTAACTTTTAAGTATTTTCTTATTTCAAAAATGAAGATGTTTTTTCCATCCACGTTGGAATAACTGAAATAGAACAATTCTACAAGACTTCCTTGACATTTTATATTGAAATTGCCACTCAGATAAAAAAAATTAATTTGATGACGATATTTTTGAAATTATAACTGTGGTTGAACCAATTGTAGCACAAGGTTTTGATATCAAAACTTTGATCGAAATTTTCCAAAGATTTCCCATTTTACATCAGCATGTAGATATACAGGGAGCTGATAATGACTGGAGGCAACATGCCCTACTAGACCACTCAAATTTTGGTTTGATAACAAACTCTTCAGCAGAAAAATACTGGAAAAAAGTGTTCTTACTGAAAAATGGTGCTGGAATTGAACTTTTTCCAAATTTCAGAAAGGTAATATCTTCTTCATTGATCCTGCCATTTTCAAATGCATTAGTAGAAAGACTATTCTCGGAACTCGATAACATAATTCCATATAAATAAGTTATTCGCCGAGAATATTGTAGCATTATTATTCTCAAGACAGGGAATAAAAAATGACGGGGGCATTTTGAAATTCAATCCAATTCAAACTTTGTTGGAGTGTAACATATGGGAAAAAAGGGAAATTACCAAAATAATGAACAGTGTACCTGATGATAGGCTGATTTTATTTTGAATAATATGTTGGTTTTTGTTAAGTTATTTTTTCAATAAAAAGTAATTCTTCATTCTCAAATCTCAATCTCACCACAGTATATTATCCTTTCAAGGATAATATACTATGATGATTCTGTGACTAGACGACGACCTATGGATCGCCGTTCTACCTTTTATTACCAATTCGTTGTAAATTATGAATCACACATTTAAAATGTTCCATATTTATTCCCGGTGCAATTGAAACTATTGTTGATTCAATATTGTAAATTAGTTTGTTTGATGCACACAAGAGTTGCAAGAGTTGCATTGGTTTATAAATAATTTTCACCATACATTTAAATACGTATAATTCTGAGGACCAACATCAAAACAGCATCAATCATAATAATTCATGTAACATTTGTATTCATCAATCGAAAGAATGTGTATTCAGGATGAAAATGACTGTTTGACGCTTTATATGTTGTCCACAAATTATTCGTTTGTCGTTTATATTTCAGTCACGAATAGAATTGTTTGATGAGTTTTCACAACAATCGTTTCAAATCGTTCATTTATTTGAAACGATTGTTGCAAATATATCATCAATCGTTCAAATTCATGTTACATTTCAATTCATCAATCAAAAGAATACATACCTCCGAAGGTGTGCAACTGAATGGATGGAAGAATTAAATTGTTTGTTGTGAATAGAAATTTTTGAATTTAAGTGATTGTTGGAATTATACCAACAATCATAAAACAAGAGAACAATTAAATTCATCAATCTTTAAAATTGAACAATTCTGATGATAGGTATTTTTCTGATTGTTGAATATTACTGAGCCTATTATTATGAATGATTTGAAATGTTTGATAAAAAATATTCGTCAAACATTTTATTTCGTTCAAAAACAATCATCAATCGTATGAATTCATGTAACATAATAATTCATCCATAAGAAAGACCAGCAATAGAGTTGATGAATCAAATTGTTTGAATTTATTTGTTTGAATTCATTTGTTTGACAATAATTACTTCAACATCAAATTAGTGGATTGAATTGTTTGAATTTATTTGTTTGATGATTATCACATGAACACCATTTATAGATTGGTGAATTAAATTGTTTGAATTGTTTTGTTGGAATTTATTTGTTTGATGATGATTTCATGCACCATATAGATTGGTGAATTAAATTGTTTGAATTGTCTTGTTTGAATTATTTTGATTGAATGGTTTTGTTTGAATTGTTTTGTTTCATGATAATAACAATTCAGTTCGGCGCGCGCAACTAGTAGGTGGCGCCTGGGCGCTCCTGGCCAATGGGAAACGGAGAAGTGAACTTTTGAAGTTTTGGCAACAGTGTATTTGCTTTCATTTGTCATTTGTATTTTGTTTACGTTTTTATATAATTTCCAATAACCTAAAACAAATTAATCTTCGGAAATCTGAATGTTCTTCCAGTTTTCGAACTGTGAGGTAGTTATTTCTATTTCCAAGCCGAATAGCAAATAAACAAAATAGTTGAAATGATATAGATGGAGGATTGATCCGAGGTAATAAAAGTGCCTTTTCGATGTTTATTTTTCTGGAGTTTTGACAAAATTTCTCTCATGGCTGAAATGAGGAGAAAAATACTCAATATCCTGCGCTCAAAATTGGAGAACACATAACGCAGTAGGTCATCTAGGTATGTTTGTGAAGAATCTTCTTGATTGACAGCTTGTAGGTTCTGATTTAAATATGTTAATGATGGAACACTGCAGCTAGCACAGGTTTTATCCTAATGCAACACCTAACCCAGCACTTCTTATATACATACAGAAATGCTGATTGTTATTTTAGCAATGCCAATGCATAGTACTTCCATAGAAATGATTATTTAGAGGCCAAGCATAAGGTTCAAGGATCAAAAGGTGAATTCAACAGTTTAGTTTCCTGATACCTATTTTGTAATTCAAATAGCAGAGTTACTATTATGGCCTCGCTTATGGCTAAAGGTTAATGGGAAATATTTTGATTTTAGAGTTAGGGAAATATGTTCATGATGGAACACTTGTCTAACCCTTATTATAGACATACTGATTCATAAATATGATAGGCACTGTTATTTTTCCTCAATAAAAACATTCTAGTGTTGCATTTTTTGATGTCTTCGTGGTCTTATTATTTGTTACTTAT